TCATTCCTTTTGTTTTTAATTTTTTAATTTTAAGATAATGCAACTTAATTTTTATTAATGGCTATATTTAAAACTGGTTCACACAATTCCTGAAAACTGGCCAGGTGCATGGCTCACACCTGTAATCTCAGCACTTTGGGAGGCTAAGGCAGGTGGATCACTTGAGGTCAGGAGTTGGAGACCAACATGGAGAAACCCTGTCTCTACTAGAAACACAAAATTAGCCAGGCGTGGTGGTGCATGCCTGTAATCCCAGTTACTCAGGAGGCTGAGGCAGGAGAATCGCTCGAACCCAGGAGGTGGAAGTTGCAGTGGGCTGAGATTGTGCCATTGCACTCCAGCCTGGGCAACAAGAGCAAAACTCCATCTAAAAAGAAAAAAAATCCTGAAGACTTTACAAATGGTTGTAGGAAACCAACTGAGCTGATTGAGGGACACCACTGCACCTCAGATGAGAGGATGAGACCCATAGAAACCCCTTGAAATGACATTGCATCTGCTGGGTCTGCAGGAAGAACCAGGTGCTCAGGACAACCCCCGTCTCTCAGGATAGCAGCGGGAGCCCTAACTTCCAGACCTTGGACAGGAAAGTACCAGGAGCATATGGTTGGAGGATCTTTTCAGCTGGATATTTAAGATTGAGGGTGTGGACACCAGGCTGCCTCACCCTAGAGCTCCAGGCATTCCTGATGTCACTGACCCTTCTTGTCCCCTGGTACCTGTGCCAGCCCCAGCTCTATTCTGATGTCTCCCTGTCCTTTCCCCAGCTTCAGACACATGTGTCTCCCACTTGCCTCTCTCACCCATTCTGAAACCCTGGGAAGATTTCAGTGTTCCTGTCTGCTTCTCAGCTTGCTTGTAGGGGTCATCAACTCCTTCCCACCCTGACAGCTGTGTAAGCACCCTCCACTGGCTCAGGCCCGCCCTGGCCTGCTCTGGTATTGGGTTTGGCAGGCAGCCGTCACACAGACAGTGGAGTGCCTTAACTCTGCCCAAGGCTGCGAAGGAGGTGTGGAGGCGGCTTTCAGTCCCCTCTCTACTTCACCGTCTTCAAGCACTGAATGAGGAGAAGGTGGGGGGCGGGGGCTCTTCTGCCTCATTTGTGTGCAGTGTATGTGCTCAAAAGAAGGGTCTCTCCAGCTGGTGCCAAAGCTCAACTTTCGTGTCTTTTACAAAAGGGAGGGGAGGGTCTGAAGGAAAAATCACCCCAGTCCTGTCCCTTGGGAGCTGGCTGGAGTCCAGTTAGGAGATATTAAAGGGAGCTAACTACGAATGCAATCTTAGCCTGGAAGCCATCCCTCTTCCGAGAGGAGACCCTGCTGCAAAACACCCCCCAGGCTTTCAAGCCTCTCTGCTCCCCATGTTTCCTGCCATGAAGGCAGCGGCTCCAAACGTCCCATTTCCCCACGTTCACAGTCCCACTCACCGATCTCTTCATACCGCATCACCGTGCCCAGATTGGCATTCTCATCTAAGGAGGAAAGAAGGAAGGAAGGGCGTTAGGGAACCGGCTTCCTGGTCCCCAACACTCAATCTGTCCGAGGGCCTCAGCAGGAGTTATTGGGATGGGGTGGGTGAGGGCAAGTAGGGGGGTGATGTGCCACCCTGCACAGGTGACACCCAAGGAGACTGAATGGGGAGCACAGTCAGGCGTAAAATGAACAGGAAGCTCTTCTGCTCCAGGAGCGGCACTTCACATGGCTGGGACTTTCAGAATGAGGCAGCCTGGCTGGGGAGCCAGTGACGAACACGCACACTCATGCTGAGTGCTTTCTCTTTCTTCCCCAAGATCTTGGGAGGGAGGCTGGCCACAAGAGCAACAACCTTACAACCTAGCGAGATGGCTTTTGGAGTCACAAGATGTGGCCGGCTCACTCTAGGGACTCCCTGGTTTAAAGAACAAGCACACTGGGGGTGCAGAACTTTTTCACATGGTGGAATGTGGCAAGGGCCTACAGGAAGATGGGAAAGACTGAGCCTTCGATGTCTGTGCAACACCTGTATGGGGGAACACGGTGTGCACACGTGTGCATACACACAGTCACGGGGATTTGAGGTGAGGGGAATGTGCTTGAGGCTCTTTGCCGAAGGAATGAAGGGAGGAGAGACAGAAAAGAGACAGGACTGGGAATCAAGGTCCTTGGTTCCTCACCTACGAAGGTGAAACGCTCCACCGGCGGGCGGACACAGCAGATCCGGCTGAGGCTTTCTCCCACCTTCCCCAAGATCTTGGCTATGGAAGAGAGCAAGTCAGACAGGGACAGAGGGAGAGAACCACTCACAACTGGCACTCATGTCGGCCCGGCATTGGGGCCGCTGTAAACATCAGGGTGCGTGGAGAGGGCAGGGGTGGGAGAAGGAGGCAGCAGGAAGGTAGAGAGAGAGAACAGAAATATGACAGCACAAGTTCCTTCTTCTCACTCACAGTCTGAGGCACACACATTGTGAGCCCTCGACTGGAAGCCATTTTCTGGTTATGTTTATTTCATTGTTGAAAACTTAGAAAACATAAAAGAGGGAAATATATAAAGAGGAAAACTTAAAGCACCCATAATTCCAACCCAAGAGATAACTACTGCTAACCTGTTGGTATATTATTTATTTTCTTTCACGTTTTAAATGTGTATTATGCTGGCATGTCTACGTAAATTGGATCAGATTTTCTAATTAAAGGGCATATAGGCTACTGGCTTCTTTCATTTTCTATATCATGAGCATTTCTTCCCCAGGTTTGTCCCAAGCCTATCCTTAGCTACTCCTCCCTCTGGACAGTTACACCCACATCCAAGGAGACTCAGCAAAGTACATGCTTGGAACCATTTCTTCTGGGCTAAGGCGTTCCTTCCCACGCAGATGGTCTTTAGAATCATTAGACATCTTATTTGGCTGAGAGGGATCTGGTTTTCAATTCTCCCTCTAGGCTCTAATCCAGAAAATTTTTCTGAGCCCTCAACATGGAGCTGTATGCAAACTGTGAAATTCTGACTCTTCTTTGTGAATTACCCTGTTTATAACAGACCAATAATATAATAGCTTATGGTCTCTAGGCTTGAAGAGTAATATCAGAATCTGTTTCTTGGAGTTGGCTTGGAAGAAAATTTTAGAGCATGGACCTTGGAGCCTGACAGTATTGAATATGAATTCCAGCTCTGCTGCTTTTGAGCTGTGTGACAAATCGGCCAATCACTTTTCTTCTCTGAATCTGTTTTCTATTTGAAATGGGAACATAATGTCTGTATCACAGTATTACTGCATTAAATAAGAACGCAGATAAAGCACGAGCATCATTTGGGCATATAGTCCTAGGTTTGGGGTATGTGCTGGTGCTCTGTCACTGGATTATTGGTGGCTAAGAGTGTGGGGATTCTGGGTGCAGACTGCCTGGGTGTGACTCACGGCCTGCTTCTTCCTCACTGTGTGACCTTGGGCAAGATCCTCAACCTCCCTGGAAGAGGCAGAGAAAAATGTTCCATTTTGTGTATTTAATTCCCAGTTAGGGCAATTATTTCTTAAAATTTATGGGTTTTTTTGTTTTTTTGTTTTTTTGAGACAGAGTCTTGCTCTGTCGCCCAGGCTGGAGCAGTGGTACAATCTCAGCTCACTGCAATCTCTACCTCCTGGGTTCACGCGATTCTCCTGTCTCAGCCTCTCGAGTAGCTGGGACTATAGGCACACACCACACACCTGGCTAATTTTTTTTTTTTTTTTTTGGTAATTTTAGCAGTGACGGGATTTCACAATGTCGGCCAGGATGGTCTCAATCTCCTGACCTTGTGATCTGCCCACCTTGGCCTCCCAAAGTGCTGGGATTACAGGCGTGAGCCGCCACGCCTGGCCTAAAATTTGTGTATTTTTTGTGACAGGGTCTCACTCTGTCTCCCAGGCTGGAGTGCAGTGGCACAATCCCCCACTCCCTGTGACCTCTACTTCCTGGACTCCAGAGATCCTCCCACCTCAGCCTTCTGAGTATCTGGGACTACAGGTGTGAGCCACCATGCCCAGTTAATTTTTGTTATTATTATTATTTGGTAGAGGTGGGATTTCGTCATGTTACCCAGGCTGGTCTCGAACTCCTAGGCGTAAGCCACCCACCCACCTCAGCCTTCCAAAGTGCTGGGATTACAGGCATGAGCCACCAGGCCGGGCTCTATGTTTATATTTAAATGCAGAAGAGTGCACACCACCACCCGCTTCTCTCTGATTGTGACTGGTTTGCTCTGATGCTTGATACTCAGGGTTCTCGAAGTATTGTCCCTGGACTAGCAGCATCAGCAGCACCTTATTAAAAATACAAGTCCTCTTTCCCAGACCCACTGAATCAAGTTCTGGGTGGGTCCCATCAATCACTATTTTAACAAGCCCTCCACATGATTCTGAGGTTTGAGACCCACACATCAATGTTTTCCTACCTGCAGTGGGCTTGTTGGTCATGTTGCTGTTCTGGTAAATGGGTTGGGGGGTCTCGTTCTGTGGCTGTCCTATCACAGGCGTCATGGAAGGTGTGTTGACATTGGAGAGGATGCAGCCAGTCACCCTCTAGGGAGAGGGAGAAGAGTGTTATTAGCCACGTGACTTTGAGAATCATTTCAAAGTTATCTCCAAATGGTCATCTGCTTGTCTATCATGGGGAGGCCACCCAGAGCCAAGGAAGAGCCCTGGGGATGGGTTCCGGACCCAGCTGCATCACGTAGTCACTAGGCTGGCAGGAGACAGAGCAGCTCCATGGGAAAAAGCATGAGATGTGGTATTTATTATGAGGGGTCCTGGGTCCAAATTCGGGCTCTACCTCCTTCTAGCTACATGACCTTGGCTGGTTACTTCATCGCTCCTGAGCCTCGATTCAGGAGTCTAATCATATGGTTGCCTTTTTCAGCTGTGGTAGAATCACACTAGCAAGCATATGCAAAGTGCCTATGGAGTGCCTGACACATGGCAGGAGCTCCGTCGGCAGCAGGCAATGCTGGAACCTTCTGTGTAACATGAATATCTGCCCTCCCCGACTGCTTCTTGGGGCTCAAATGAGATCATGTCTGCAAAAGGGCTCTGTAAGCTTGGGAAAGGTCATACAAACACAAGGCACGATCACCACCTGCGGCCTCTTCAGGCCAGAGCTGTCAGTAACACAGCCAAGCAAGAGGGAGAGCGGTGCCAGGCAGCACAGGGTGCGTTTGTGCTGCGGGAAGCGGGGTGGGTGGGTTCTGAGCATTCTCTTGCCTGCTCAGTGGGAATACACATGCCACAGCCAAACGGAAATTCTGTGTGTATTATCCATTGTTCTGAGTTATCTGCCGGCTACTCCTCGCCAGTGCTGCAGAAAGCACAGAGCTGATAAGGCAGCATTCCTCACAGCTGACCCCGAAGTTACCCTACTGGTCCGAGGGGACGGGGAGAGTAGCTGTTGGGCAACAGAGAAACAAGGACCAACTTCCGATCTGTTCAGCTTCACAAGGGCCACTGCTTATTCAAGGTTTCTTCGTTCCCAAAAGCCAGCAGCTCGGGTACCCACCACCCACTCCTGCACGCCACCCTTTCTGGATTTGGGTTCTGCTGCCAGGGGACCCCCAGGCCCAAGGCTGGGGTGATGCTCTGGGCACCTCTTCCACAGGCCATCCTGTGGGCAGAACAGTGTGTGAGTCCTCTGAGCCCCAGAAGGGGAGGCATTTGTCTTGTGGGGCAACCTGTCACCTTGGTAAGGCTCCTGATAGGAGGAGGTCACATCCAACCACATCTGGCAGCCAGCTGGGGCGGGCACCATGGGATCTTGACACCTGCTTGATGGGCTTCTTTGCCCAGCTGTGGCTGGTGCGACGGAAGGGGTGGTCTGCTTCCATTTAGTATTATTTTACCACCAGAAAAGAAAACACCACATTCCCGTTTCCTGACTGGTCTGGTAGCTGAGGGGCTTCTTCCTCTTGCTGCCCTGTGGGTCCCATTGGACTTATTCTATCTCAGAGAAGCAGAAAATGGCTGGCTGCTTTCCCTGATCCTGCCTTCATCAGCCCCTATGGGCTCCTGTGTTTTCAGAGGCCTTGACATTGGATAGTCGCCCCGAGTCACCTGTTAAGTCACGCATCTATCTCTGTGGCATGTCTGCTCTCCATGCCAGGGACACCGGCCTCATGCTTCCTAGCAGTTTGAAGGCTGAGAATTCTTAGGAAGCAGCTCCAAGCTCTCACTCCAAGGCAGGGGGCCAGCCATGACCTACATTCTCTACCAGCCTCTGCCCATCACTGCAACAGCTGGGGCTCCTGGCGGAGCTTCTGTGGCCCAGACTCATACCCTGGGCATGAATAACACAGGGAGCATTCAGGAAGCCTGGCATTTAGACAGCAAATGACAGCCAGGCTCTCTGGCCAGTATGGCTGGCACTGAGGAATTCCTACAGGGTCCCCATTCCTCCCTTCTGTCATGGAGCCTGAGGCTTCTATGTGACCAGAAAGAGCACAGCTCTACAGGGACTCCCCAGATGACATGTAGTGTGAGAAATAGACTTGTGTGAAGTCACTGAGGTTTTAGGGATGTTTGTCACCACAGCATACCTTTGCCTATCCTGACTGATACACTCTTACAAAGTGAGATGGGGTGTCTTTCATTACTGCTATTGTGGAGACCAGCACAGAGGAGCAAGTCAGTGTGGCCTTGAGTCAGTCTCCTTTGAAGGGGACCAGAGGGCCAGGATGTGTGAGAAGGATTCTGAAAGCCAAATGGGAAGGGAGATCAGTTTTCTTCAATTCCAGGGGACAGAAAACAACAGATGGAGACTAGCCGGCTGGTCCTCTCTACCTCACTTGTCCTTGGCTCCCCAGGACAGAGCTCTGAAGCTCCATATCTGTTCAGATAAAGCCTGGCTGTGCAGCTGGTGGAGTGTGGGGTGGTCAGGGGCTGCTCCCCAGGAAGAAGATGGTGACAGGCCCTCTGGCAGCAGGGACACAGATGGGGCAGGGGCTCTCCCTGCAGGAGGACAGTGCCATGTGGACTGCTATCTGGGGCTGGGGAGGGCTCCGCCGCAGTCCATGGAGGCAAGCATAATTTACTGTTTGCTGTCTTGGTCAGGCTTCTCGCCATCGGTGGCATTGCTTTTCGTCCTGTCACTGTGGAGTTGATGGGTTGGCATTGATCTGGGAAGGGTGCTTTCTGCACACTCTGGCCAGTGCTGCTGGCTGGTGTGGAGCCCATTCTAACCTGGCAACCAGCCCTAAGGTCTCCACAGCCCAGCTACAGGCTCCAGGCCCCAGTGGGGAATACAGAAGCTCTCACCTATTTGTGCTCACCAAACACTCACTGTGTGTCCTCAGGTATGTGGACTCCTCTCTGCTTCCTTTTACCCACTAATAAATCAGGCATCAGATACTGTCCACCCCTGGGGCTCTTGTGAGGAGGAATGAGTGGTAATGGGGTGCAATGACTGGCAGGTGTGACGTGCCTCAGTCACACAGCCTGTCCTGGAGTAAGGGGGCCAGTGGGGCCCCCGCAGGCAGGCAGGGGGCTCAGCTGCTTGTATCTCCCCTAAGTGCTCCTCTCTTCTCCTGCCTTTCATTGCCTAGTCTCCTCCTCCCTCAATTTCTGAAGTCCTGTCGCTGTGATCTTAATCCCACCTTGAACGTGCTCCCAGCTGATGAAAGCTGACCATCATACCCAGAAGCAACGCCCCAAATGGGAGGCCAAGAGAGAGGGTAGACGACAGGGAGCAGCCCCTGGTGCTACTTGGGGTTCCTAATTCATTGTCCTTCATTCCGTTCACAGGCTGGTCTCTTGCAACAGACAGAGAAATAGAGGCTGAAAGCAGGTCAGTAGGCTAGCAGCACCCTCTCCTCTCTCTGCCTGGCTTCTGTGGGTCTAACCCCTCCCCTGCACCCCGGTGATCCACACACCCCCAGCCTCAGCCCAACTCACCTTCATGAGGTCCCGGTGGTGTTCCAACACGCTGCAGGTCGTCTGCCAGGTGTCCTGGTAGCACTCCCAAGGGTCCACCCTAATGTCATCAGAGAGAAGTTTCCCTTGGTTTCTGTTCTCATACTCCTTTTTTTTTTTTTTTTAGATTAAGTCTCCCTCTTGTCCCCCGGGCTGAAGTGCAATGGCACAATCTTGGCTCACTGCAACCTCTGCCTCCTGGGTTCAAATGATTCACCTGCCTCAGCCTCCTGAGTAGCTGGGATTGTAGGCGCCCACCGCCACGCCCAACTAATTTTTGTATTTTTCGTAGGGATGGGGTTTCACCATGTTGCCAGGCTGGTCTTGAACTCCTGACTTCAGGTGATCCACCCACCTTGGCCTCCCAAAGTGCTGGGATTTCAGGTGAGAGCCGCCGTGCCCAGCCCTCATACTCTTTCCTTATTGTTTCCTTCCAAAAATCATAGCTCAGGAAGCTTGGCAGACCTGGCCATACTATGTACTTAGATCTTGAATCAGATAAAACCTGGGTGTGAAGCACTTTTCTGAGCTTCAGTTTCCTCCTCTGTAAAATGAGAGGAGCATGGGATAGGCTTATGAGAAGAGATGCTGGTGCCCTTCGGCTTGGGTTTAATTCTAGCCTCAGCTCTTTGCAATCGTGTGGCTTTGGGAAAGTTATGTGATCTCCCAGTGCCTCATCTTCCCCATCTGTAAAATGGGAATGACAACAGTATACAAGCTTATGGTTTTGTTAGAAAGGCTCAGTACGTTTTATATGCACAATGCTCAGTACAGAGTCTTCCTCTCATTGTTACCTACAAAATAAACCCTCCTTTGGACCCTTGAGGATTGTGAGAAGGATTAACTGAGCCAGGCCTTTGTCAAGTGGTGGCTAAGGTTATCCTTGCCAGGCTGCAAGCCCTCGAGAATCAGCCCTGACTGTCTCCCTGTGCAGTGAAGTGCCTTGTGGATGTGGAGGTGAGGCATGGCTGTCAGATGAGAGGGTGTGGACTCAGTAATGGCCAATCCCTCCAGGATACTGCTTGTAAAGTGAGCAGGGATTCAGCCCCAGACTGAGGCAGCATTGGGGCACTGGGGATTAATTGCCAACATAATGAGCTGCTAAACTGGGATATTTCTCAAACTTTTTTTCTTTCTTTCTTTCTTTTCTTTTCTTTTCTTTTCTTAGACAGAGTCTCACTCTGTTGCCCAGGCTGAAGTGCAGTGGCGTGATCTCAGCTCACTGCAACCTCCACCTCCTGGGTTCAAGTGATTCTCCTACTTCAGCCTCCTGAGTAGCTGGAATTACAGGCACATGCCACCATGTCCAGCTAATTTTTGTGTTTTTAGTAGAGACGGGGTTTCACCACGTTGGCCAGGCTGGTCTCAAACTCCTGACCTCAGGTGATCCACCCACCTCGGCCTCCCAAAATGCTGGGATTACAGGCATGAGCCCCCATGCACAGCCTTCCCAAACATCTTCTTAGCAGTTGTGCATCCCCTTAACCCCACCACCCTATCCCACCACCCCACCACATACACATACCTAAAGTGCCCAGAGATGAGATCCCACTAGCTAAAAACCCTTAGAGAGTCAGCTTGCCATTTGCCTGGAGCCTGTCGGCCCCTAGATCCCTAACCAGGCCCTGTGCCGGGGATGGGCAAACACTTCATCTGGCTGAATGGGCTCCCAGTGTTAGGCGCCCTACGCCAGCCAACCCCCACATCTAGAGGCAGCTCTTAGACTCCCTAGCGATCTCAATTCCCAGGATTCTAATTTTTCCAGAGCAGCCCAGGGAAGGTGGCAGGCACTCAGTAGACAGTTGTTGAATGAATGAGAGAATTATTCTGGAATCTTCTAAATACAGCCAAGCAGTAACAGTCTCCTGCCCTGTGATTTCCTCACCGGATCCCAGCATCTCCAGAAGATCAACAGTTACAACGTTAAGAGGCCTCGTTTCTAATCCTTTCTTGCCTATGGATGTATGAATGTATCATTGCTCAAGCCCTTTGATTTCTCCGGGTCTTTCTTACCTGAGAAAAAGCAGCTGTCTCTCTCCCTAAGCTTTGTCTTTAAGGGGATGTGAAAATATAAAGGGCATGTGCTTCTCACACAAATCACTGCGCACAAATGGCAAGGATCACTGCTGAATTGTTATTGTCGCTTCCCTTCACGGCTCTCATTCCCGCCCACCCCACTCTTCCCGGGCGAACTCTCTGCATCCCTCATTCTGAAGTCAGCAACCCATCACCTCCCCTCTTTCATGGAAACCTCTAGGTGCTGCTTATTTTTCCATAGCCGGAAATTACAGCACAAATGGCATGCCATTATTTTTTTAAAACATCATCTTCTCATGCAAATTATAACGGTAGGAACTTTGGGGAGCATCATTAGCATAATTAGTGGAAGCTTGCTTTAATTACACTGCAAGCTCAGCGGAGGGGGGTGGAGGTGCCTTAGCACGTCTGGCCAGAAAGGCAGTGAGCAGGAAAGCCACCCACCAGGTGTGATTTCGTGTCGCTGCCATTAAGGGCCACCTGCACCTCTCTCCTGGGGCCAGTGTAGGGCCCTTAGGGAGCCTGAGTTCGGGAATGGGAAATTGCCAAGGCCAGAGAACATTCCCTGAAAGGTAGTGAGGGTTCATGGAAGTTAGCGGGAATGAAAGTGAGAGGCATTTCTGATTTTCTGGTCATGCCTCACCCAAAACCCAGTGATACTTCAAGAAGCTCCAAGAATCACACCAGGACTCAGAGATGCCAAAGCAGATGAAACATTAAAGCTCCTCCTTTACTTTCTTTTTTTGAGATGAAATCTCACTCTGTCACCCAGGCTGGAAGGCAATGGCACAATCTCGGCTCACTGCAACCTCTGCCCCCTAAGTTCAGGCAATTCTCCTGCCTCAGCCTCCTGAGTAGCTGGGACTACAGGTACCCGCCACCATGCCCGGCTACTTTTTGTATTTTTAGTAGAGATGGGGTTTCACCATATTGGCCAAGCTGGCTCCTTATCTTGTGATCCACCCGCCTCAGCCTCCCAAAGTGCTGGGATTACAGGCGTGAGCCACCGCGCCAAGCTCTTTTTTTACTTTCACGGGCCTCGTAGTTTGGTTCAAAAATCAAGTCATAGGTTGGGATATCCCTGGAGGTCTACTTATTGCCTCCACAAGGCTAATATCTTGCCCCTGCCTCCGCATCCTTTCAGGATCCAAATTGTCACTGGAATTCTTCTTTTTCCCACCCCACTCCCAGTGAGTCTCGGGGGCACCTGCCTCTGGCATTTTCAGGCTGCTCCTACCTGATCCAGTCGGAATTCTGGACAGCCAGCTGACACATGATGAGACGGTGCCGGCTTGACACGAGGCCCTGGGAAGCAACAGAGCAATTGTTAGGAGACTCCCTCCATTCCCCACAATGTCCTTGGGATGCCAGCCCAATCCCACCCATTGTTAAAGTGCAGCCATTTTTTAGTGGTGAGAGGGAATGAGGGATGTGACCCCTTTACTTGTGCGTTTGCCACACAGGCAGGCCTGGCATGGTGGTGGGGAAAGGAAATGCACAAAAGGCGTGTGGTGTATACCACCCCAACGGGGTCGATAGGTGAGCCTCCATTTGTGAAGCAGCCCCTGTGTGCCCTGCGGAGACGAGACTTAAATCAGCAAATGTGGCCTTGTCTTATGGCTCAGTCTGGCTGGTTAGGTGTTTCCCCAGAGCCCACCAAGGTGCATCTGTGGGAGAAAGGGGGAATGTCTGGTCGAGCTCCTAGATTTGCCGGGGCATATGGCACAGAGGGATGGGCAAGGAAATGAATTTTAAATCACATTATAAGAGGCATAGGTCGTTTTCTCCTAAAATCCTGAAAAGACTTGCCCAGTGCAGCTCAACCCATAACCAGCTGCCAACCTGGCATCCACCATACCAAGCCACACCCAGTGGGTGTTCCTGCTTCTCTGTCAGTGAGTCCTGACCCATCTGTGAGTGGGTCTATGGTCATGAACAGCTGGTCCTTCCAGCGCTGCTTCAGCTGAGATGGGAAGCAGGATGGGCGCATGAACCTGGGCATTTTGTGTTTCCAGGAATCTTAGCAGAGACAGCAGTGGGGCAGTTTTTCTGCCGGGAGCTATCAGGCCACGGAGAAGGGGCTTGAAGGAGGAGAGGGCACAGGAAGGAACCCACCTGTTTTCCATAGGAGTCGTGGACAGGGGAGACAATCCCGCCGATCACAATAAACCTTCCAGTTTTGTGCAGGTAATCCCTGGCTCTTTCTAATTAAGAGAAGAAACCCACACATTAAAAAGAGGAAAGGCATGGATTCAAGGCGATAATTGAAATCAATACGCTCAGCTCTGTAATGCTGAGGTTTATTTCCCAACTCTCTTGCCATTTGAATAGAAAGTGTCAACTTTCAAAGCAAACGTTGGTGATTCAAAAGGTTAAGGAACCAGATTTCAGCCCCCAAAGCAAAAGGATTTAGAATTCAAGGGGATTCATCCTGTTTTAAAGGTTCTCTGTGGGAGGAGACAGCCTAGCTTAGAGGGGTTTAAAACAAGCACCTCATTAGCAGCCATTAAAGTTATAGATTGGAATTTACCGCTATTGTCACTTGCAGAAATTACAACGTGGCGTAGTGTTGTTGGTTTTTTTTTTTTTTTTAAGTCTCCTTATAATATGAAAGATGTGCTGATTGCCTCATCTAATTATTCAGAAGAGAAAAACCAGCAAAACAAATTTAAAGGGTCTTGTACATAATTACAGAGAATTAGCAGTCAACCCAGAAGGCCACCACCTTTGAGTTGGTTGAGACAAAAAATGTGGACAGATAAAAGCCTTTTATCCTTTAGAAGTTATGCAATATTGCTTTTTCAAATTTATCAGACAAGCCCAATTTCATTTTTGTGATAAATTTTGGCAAACTGGGAAGGGGCTGAAAAATCTGGCTCCATATTACTTCCAAAACAGTTCATTTTAAGAATGTCAACAGGGGCTAGACACAGTGGCTCACGCCTGTAATCACAGCACTTTGGGAGGCTGAGGCAGGTGGATCACGAGATCAGGAGTTCAAGATAAGCCTGGCCAAGATGGTGAAACCTGTCTCTACTAAAAATACAAAAATTAGGGATTTCCAGCTCTCTGGAATCCCCTCCCACATAGTGGGAGCCTTATTAAAAAAAAAAAAAAAAAAGAGAGAGAGAAAATGAAAACCAACAACAACAACAACAACAACAAAAAACCACAAAAATTAGCTGGGTGTGGTGGCAGCTGCCTGTAATCCCAGCTACTCGGGAAGCTGAGGCAGGAGAATCACTTGAATCCACGGCAGAGGTTGCAGTGAGCCGAAATCACATCACTGCACTCCAGCCTGGGCGACAGAGTGAGTGCTGTCTTAAAAAAAAAAAAATAGCACAGGGCCTGAGCTTGTAGCACTGAGGAAAATTCGGGCATGGAGTTTACAGCGAGGGAATTTTTAAGTGGAAGGGGCCTGGGCAGCAAGGCTGGTTGTGTAGTTTACAAGCAAGTTTCCAGATTTCTGTGCTTGTTTCTTAACACTTGAAAAAGTTCTCACCATATTTGCTTCTTTTTCTTTCTTTTTTTGAGACAAAGTCTCACTCTTTCACTTAGGTTGGAGTGCAGTGGCGCAATCTCAGCTCACTGCAATCTCCCCCTCCTGGGTTCAAGCAATTCTCATGCCTCAGTCTCCCAAATAGCTGGGATTACAGGCATGTGCTACCAAACTTGGCTAATTTTATATTTTTAGTAGAGGCAGTTTTCACACATTGGCCAGGCTGGTCTTGAACTCTCGACCTCAAGTGATCTTACCGCCTTGGCCTCCCAAAGTGCTGGGATTACAGGCATGAGCCACGGCACTTGACTGCTTTTCTTGCAATGTGAAATTTCTTAGATTAAAAAAAAAAAAATGAGCTATTTTTAACACCGTTTTAGATTTACAGAATAATTGAGGAGATTGTACATAGAGTTCCATATATTTAGACCCCTCCACCTTTTCACCTCCCTCCATGCAGTTCCCTCCATTATATTAATAATCTTGCACTAGTGTGGCACACTTGATATACCTGACACATCAGTATTAACACATTATTCACTATAGTCCATAGTTTATGTTGATTCACTCTGTGTTGTTGAGTTCTGTGGGTTTTGATAATTGTATCCCTCATTATAGTATCATACCCAGTATTTTCATCTCCCTAAAAAGTCAATGTTCCACCCATTCATGCCTCCTCTTTTTCCAAACCCCTGGCAACCATGGGTCTGTTTACTATTTCTATAGATTTGACGTTTCCAAAACGCCATATGGTTGGAATCAAATAGTATGTAGCCTCTTTGGACTTGCTCTTTTCACTAAGCAGTATGCATTTAAAGTTCCTCCATGTCTTTTCATGGCTCGACAGCTCATTTCTTTGAATCACTAAATGATATTCTATTGTCTGGAAGTACCTCAGTTTATCCATTCGTCTACCAAAGGACATCTTGGCTGCTTCCAGTTTTTAGTGATGATAAATAAAGCTGATATGACATTCACGTGCAGGTTTTTGTGTAGATATAAGCTGGGGAATCTACACAGGAGCCATATGAATCATATGGTAAGATTATGCTTAGCTTTTTAAGAAGCTGTCAAATTGTCTTCCAAAAGGTTTGTGCCATTTTATATTCCCACCAGGAATAAATGAGACTTTCTGTTGCTCCAAATTTTTACCAGCATTTGGCATTATTAGGATTTTAATATGTTACATTTGCATTTTTTTTTGACAGAGTCTCGCTCTGTTGCCCAGGCTGGAGTGAAATGGCATGATCTCAACTCACTGCAACTTCTGCCTCCTGGGTGCAAGCGATTCTCATGTCTCAGCCTTCCAAGTAGTTGGGATTACAGACATGTGCCACCATGCCCAGCTAATTTTTAAATTTGTAGTAGGGATGGGGTTTCAACCTGTTGGCCAGAGTGGTCTTGAACTTCTGACCTCAGGTGATCTGCCCCCCTCAGCCTCCCAAAGTGCTAGGATTACAGGGGTGAGCCACCGGGCCCGGCCCCACATTTGCTTTTTAAAAGAGTTGTAGTACTTCACTTGTTTTCAGATCTTATTCGGAGGCCAAATTAAAGGCCTTTAAGAAAGCTCTTCTGATATTTGAGGAAATTCCACAGGCTCTCCGTTTCTCTTGGACCTTCACATTCCAGTCCTCCTTGGGGTCGTTCCTATCTGGCTCTTGGCAGTCACAGACCCTCTGCTGCAATAAGCCAGACCTTCTTTGCTCTCCCTGTCCTCCAAATAGTGCCTTCTCCTAACTCTTCACTTGCCAAGCACTTCATTCAAACCCAGCTCTACCCTACACAATGTCTAGCGTGCCTGCCCTGCCCAACATCTTCCTGCTCTGCACTTCTTCCCCTGCCACCTCATTGACCTCACTATGCCCCCAGTCCAGTCCACAGGACCTGGAAACTGTTTCTGTAAAATGCTTTCTTTGCAAAGTTGTTATGAGGATTAAATCAAATTATGAAAGTAAAAGTGCATAGGGGTAGGTGGTTTTACTGCAAAATTCCACCAAACATTTAAAGAACTAAAACCAAGTCTACATGAACTGTTCTAGAAAGTAGAAAAGGAAGGAACACTTTTCAATTCATTTTATAAAGCCAGTGTTACCCGGATATCAAACCAGGCAAAGATAGTACAAAGAAGAAACTACAGACCAATATCCTTTATGATTGTATGCTCAAAGATCCTTAGCAAATGTTAGCAAATAGAATCCAGCTATATAGAGAAAGAATTATACACTGTGACTAAGTGGTATATATTCCAGGGATGCAAGGCTGTTTTTTCAGTATTTGAAAAGTCATTCAATGCAATCCACCAGCAGGCTAAAGAAAATTCTCATGATCCTATCAATTGATGCAGAAAAAGCATTTGACAAAATTCAACATTCATTCATGACAAAAACTCTCAGTAAAGCAGGAATAGAAAGAAACTTTCTCGCCTTGATAAAGAGCAGCTGCAAAAACCTACAACTAACATCATACTTAGTGGTGAAAGATTGAATGCTTTTTCCCTAAAATCAAGAACAAAGAACAACGTTTGCTCTCACTGCTGTTATTCAACCAGAAGTTCTAGTGCACACCATAAAGCAAGAAAAGAAATAAAAGGCATATAGATAAACAAAAGAAAATAAAAAACCTGTCTCTATTTGTACATGACTTGATGATCTACTTTGAAATCCCAAGAAATTGGCCAAGCATGGTGGCTTATGCCTGTAATCCCAGTACTTTGGGAGGCCGAGGTGAGCAGATCACCTGAGGTCGGGAGCTTGAGACCAGCCTGACCAACATGGAGAAACCCATCTCTACTAAATATACAAAATTAGCTGGGCGTGGTGGCACATGCCTATAATCTCAGCTACTTAGGAGCCTGAAGTAGGAGAATCTCTTGAACCCTGGAGGTGGAGTTTGCAGTGAGCCAAGATTGCGTCATTGCATTCCAGCCTGGGCAACAAGAGCAAAACTCCATCTCAAAAAAAAAGAAAAGAAATCTACAAGGAAACTCCAGAAACTAATAAATGAGTTCAGCAACGTCATAAGTTACAAGATCAACATAAGAAAATAAATTGTATTTCCATATGCTGGCAACAAACAAGTGAAAATCAAAATAAAAATACAAAGCAAATCTTAAGCAAGCAAGTGAAATACTTAGGTATACATATAATAAAACATATACAGGGCTTGTATGCTACAAACTACGAGATGCTGATGAAAGAAATAAAAGAAGATCTAAATAAATGTAGACTTATGCATTTTAAATCTTAACTGAGAGTCCTTTTCAAGGATGCCTTCAACCCTTTATTCTCATGTACACTATATCTATGTTGCCTCTGTGAACACAGGAACAGAACATATATTTGAATTCAGTGCCACAGCAAGTCGTAGAAGATGCTGCCAGTCCTGAATTTATTTGGGTGATTATGCTCCTATTGAGTTGGATGCCATAGTCTAGTGGTTAGGAACAACAACAAAAAAATGAAGAGATATACCATGTTATGTACTAGAAGACTGAACACAGTCAAGGTGCTAATTCTCCCCAAAAATGATATATAAATTTAGTGTACTTCCCATCAAAATCATAGCAAGATCTTTAAAAATATAAATAGTGGCAGAATTCTAAAATGTACATGGAAAGTCATAGGGGTTAGAATAGTTCATAGCAGCTTTATTTGTAATGATCAAATACAGGAAACAAGCCAAATGTCCTATGATAAGTAAATGGTTAACCAAAATGTGGTACACCTACACTACTCAGAAATCAAAAAGAACAAGTTGGCCAGGCACATTGACTTGTGTCTGTAATCCCAGCACTTTGGAAGGCAGAGACAGGTGGATCACTTGAGGTCAGGAGTTTGACACCAGCCTGGCCAACATGAAACCCTGTCTCTACTAAAAATACAAAAAGTAGCTGGGCGTGGTGGTACACGCTTGTAATCCCAGCTACTTGGGAGACTGAGGCAGGAGGATTGCTTAAACCTGGGAGGTGGAGGTTGCAGTGAGCCAAGATGGCACCACTGCACTCCAGCCTGGGTGACACAATGAGAGAGACTCTTGTCTCAAAAAATAAAAAAGGAACAAATTATTGATATGTGCAACAATTTGGATGGCTCTTTAGTTCACTATGCTGAGTGAAGAAAAGGCAATCTCAAAAGTTTGCTCATTGTATGATTTCATTTATATAACATGGTCAAAAAGTTGTTAAAAGTCTAGGTGTTGTGGCTCATGTCTATAATCCCAATATTTTTGGAGGCTGAGGCAGAAGGATCCCTTGAGCCTGGGAGTTTATGACCAACATGGGCAACACAGCGAGACCTCTGTCTCTTAAAAAAAAAAAAAAAAAAAAAAAGGTAAAAGATGTTATGAAGGTTAGAGCTTTCCAGGGCTCAGGGATGGTAGGGCAGGGAAAGGGGTGGGTATGACTTTAGAGCTGTAGCTTGTGGAAGATCTTTGTGGTAATGAGCTAGTTGTATAGCTTACTTTCGTTGGTTCTATAAATCTACCCATTTGATAAGATACCATATATAAACTATACATACACCTTATACCAATGTCAGTGTCCTCATTTTGATATTCTACAGTTACAGAAAATTGGTCTGAATGTCTGTCCCTCCAAAATTCATATGTTGAAACCTAATTTCCAACATGTTGCTATTAAGAAGTGGGGCCTTTGGGAGGTGACTAGGTCACGAGGGTGGAACCCTTGTGGATGGAATTATGGCCCTTATAAAAGCGGGCTGGGGGAGCCCATTCACCCTTCTGCCTTGTGAGAACACAGAGCAGGCACCACATCTGCCAGGGCCTTTATCTTGGACTTGCCAGCCTCCAGAAGTGTGAGCAATAAGTTTATGTTATTTATAAACTACCCAGTCTAAGGTATTTTGTTACAGCAGCCGACAGCAACCACTGGAGGAAACTGGGAGAAGAGTACATGGGATCTCTTGGTATTAATCTTGCAACTTACTGCAAATATATAATTATCTCAAAACAAAAAGTCTTTGAAATGTTCATGGTAAATTATAGAACACTATAATTTTAAGGTGGTGGCGTACAAACACAGGCAGTGGCAAGCAAGCCGGAGGGGTCAGATGCTTCTGCTCATACTGTTCCATCTTTGCTGCTGTCTAGATTCTAAGATTTTGGTTAGTGTGAGCTGTGTTGCCTAAATCTGTACTTCTTAAACTTTGACGTACATATGAATCCTCTGGGGGTCTTTTTAGAATATAGATTCTGATTCTGTAGGTCTGAGGTGGAACCTGAGATCAGAGTCAAGATTAGCATGAGGTAAAGCCGGGCGCGGTGGCTCAAGCCTGTAATCCCAGCACTTTGGGAGGCCGAGGCGGGTGGATCACGAGGTCAAGAGATCGAGACCATCCTGGTCAACATGGTGAAACCCCGTCTCTACTAAAAATACAAAAAATCAGCTGGGTATGGTGGCGCGTGCCTGTAATCCCAGCTACTGAGGAGGCTGAGGCAGGAGAATTGCCTGAACCCAGGAGGCGGAGGTTGCGGTGAGCCGAGATCGCGCCATTGCACTCCAGCCTGGGTAACAAGAGCGAAAACTCCGTCTCAAAAAAAAAAAAAAAGATTAGCATGAGGTAAGTAGGGCATGATTGTTCAAGTGCTGAGTCAGATCTTGCCTGTATTTAAAATGCTGATATTTTGTTTATCATGGATTTTTTGCAGTGACTTTGATATTTTAAGATATTGTTTATCTTTTTATTTTAATTTAGTTTTGAGATGGAGTTTTGTTCTTGTTACCCATACTGGAGTGCAATGGTGTGATCTTGGCTCACTGCAACCTCTGCCTCCCAGGTTCAAGCTATTCTCCTGCCTCAGCCTCCTGAGTAGCTGGGATTATAGGCACCTGCAACTACACCTGGCTAATTTTTTTTGTATTTTTAGTAGAGACAGGGTTTCACCATGTTGGCCAGGCTGGTCATGAACTGCTGACCTCAGGCAATCCACCTGCCTTGGCCTCCCAAAGTGCTGAGATTACAGGTGTGAGCCACCACGCTCAGCCAAAATATTGTTTATCTTGGTTACTGAGTTTGGGGGCACCTCCTTACATTTTGCACTAGAGGGGGCCATCTTTCACCCTAGTCCCAGGCTTGCCTGAGATTTGGCATTTCTGGCAAGCTCCCAAATGAGACCAATGCTGCAGGTCTGCAGATTATATTTTAAATAGCAATGGATTGAAGACAGGTGGAGCAGCCCCTACCATGTTAGAATACCCACAAAAGAGGCTCTCCTGCCTTCTCCACTCCACCACCACCTCCAACTTGCACGACAAGGGCATTTCTGCACATCAGTAGAAAGCCAGCCCATTGGCAAAGCTGTAGCTAGGGCCCTGGAATTTAATTTCATGCCAGGTCTCCCAAAATAAGGTCTATTTTTGTCCATCAGTTCTGCCCCAAAGAAGAAGCCAAATTACTCTAACATTGGACATGCAAGTAAGACCTGCTCTGTGTTTGGTCACCATCTTTGCTTTTGTGTTCATGGAGGAGAACCCTATGGGCATTGCCACATCCTGTCCTCAGGACCCTGAGGGTCCACCATGTGTCACGGCTCATTCCAGGCCACTTGGAACCAGGTAAATCTCCCTTCCTGATAGCCTGTGCTGGATGCTTGGATGTCCAGCCAAGGACAGAAATGACATGAGTGATTTGCCCGATAATAAAAATTCATGAGACACACATATCCTCCTGGGTACTCAGTGAAGCTGGCTGACCTGTGCCATCTACTCCTTCCTTCTAGGGAGTTAATGGAAGAAACACTGTGGTCAGAGCATCAACACTAACTCTATTTTTCCTTTTCAGCTGCAATTAGAAATGCCACAGCTGGAGCTGCCTGTATTTTCCTTGTTTGTGAATTTCACAAAGATTGTCTGGATTTGTAAACATTCTAAATTTTAGGAAGACCAAGTGCTGGATGGTAAAGGAAGAAACCAAGCATTGAGTGCCTCTTAGCAGGGGTTTTCCTGCGTAGGACCTAAGAAAAAACTCTAAGAGATCATCCCTGTGGCCTACTAAACTGAACCTTGAGTGTTCTCTAACAAAAATTTAATAAGTGCTTATTATGTTGAAGGCTCTGTGCCAGTTGCTATACGGGACATAGAGAAGTAAAAGACACAAATCCCATCTCCAAGGAGCCTAGGATTTTGATCGGGGCCACAGTGCACACTTTGCTGAGATAATAAGATACCAAAATGAAAAGCAGAGACATTAAATGCTATAGGACTTCAGGGAGGGAGTCACCCCAGTGGGATGGGGTGGCCTAGGAAGCCTTCCTGGAACAGATTAGACAAGCTAGAAACAACAGCAGAGATGAAAGTGTTATTAACTATGTATTTTTATTTTATTATTTCTTTTACTATTATTTATTTATTTATTTATTTATTTATTTTTTGAGTCAGAGTTTTGCTCTTGTTACCCAGGCTGGAGTGCAATGGCGCGATCTCGGCTCACCACAACCTCCGCCTCCTGGGTTCAGGCAATTCTCCTGCCTCGGCCTCCTGAGTAGCTGGGATTACAGGCACACGCCACCAGGCCCAGCTGATTTTTTTTTAGAGACGGGGTTTTACTGTGTTAGCCAGGATGGTTTCGCCGGGGTTTCGATCTCCTGACTGAATGATCAGCCCGCTTTGGCCCCCCAAAGTGCTGGGATTACAGACCTGAGCCACCACGCCCCGCCTATCTTTTTAGTTTCTGTATTTTGATGTTTGACCTGTGGGGACTTACTGAAGCTTGAAGGAAGGAATTATCCCTCTAGCCAGTTCCTGGAGATAGTAGATAACTGGTCCACCAGCACACTTTTCAAATGCAAACCAACCATTCAGACTAACCACGCCCTCAACCTCCTTCACTAAGTGTCTCCCACTCAGGGCCTCTATTTCCCTGCCCTCATCTCCCCAGGGCTAGGAACCAAACAACTAGGGAGATCCCCTAAGCCCCAGAGGCTGCTGAATTTATTCAAACTAGGCAAAGGTGAGCCTGTCCTTCTCAGAACCACAATAACGTCTTTTGCCCTTGTCTCCCCACTCCCTCTGCCTTCTGACTGACCCTGGAGCCTCC